AAGAATAGAGTAAAGTGCATTGTTTACCCGTACTCTTTAGAAATTGCATGTTTTACCTCTGAACTATAAAAATTACACTGTTTACCCTCGAACTCCTTGAAAATTGCACGATTTACCCCTGCATACTAAAAAATGCACCAAATACCCTTGAACAAATTAAACCGTTGCATCGTTGGTCCTAAACTATTAGATAGGGAGTGCGTTGCTTCCACGCACAACAATTGCGAATATAATTCATCTGACCCTTGTGATTTTTCCAAAGTACCTTTCCCCAAAATTGTCGTCTTTATTTAAATGTTCAGGAGTAAACAATACAATTTTCGAAAAGTTTAGGGATATTTGGTGCAATTTTTATTGTTCAGGGGTAAAGCGTGCATTTACTAAAGAATTCAGAGGTATTTGGTGCACTTTTTAATGTTTGAGGGTAAATCGTGCAATTTTCAAAGAATTCGGGGGTAAACGGTGCACTTTTCTCCATTAAGAACATAACTAAAGCTCAACTCACATACATGCATTTGTGAAAAAAGAATAATCCCCACCCGGCCACTCTGATCTTATTTATCAGCTGACAAGTTTTATCGAATCAAAGAGAGTTATACTAAGGTCATGTTCTCTTTGCCTGATTTGATTAATAGGTTTTGATCTGATTGGAATAAGTCCTGATCTAATCTGAATGTAGTTATATTTAAAGTTAGTTCTGATCTGAACAGCGTTCAATAAGAATAAATAATAAGTAAACAAAATAAGTTGGGGGAGAACATGACATAAGTTTCAAAATATACTATCTTCATCCCACTCTAATAGAAAAATAGGCTCCACTAAAAGGTAATACGTTTCCATGAATAGTTACAAGTATGCTTTATTCCTTTTTGACACATTTACGTAAGATATACCATATATGCCATCATTAGCAAGAAATGTTGGATAATGACTGATTATACGCATGACTCCACGAATGTGATTATTGACAACAAGTGTTTGATAATGATTGATTATTTTAATAAAAATTCAAATTGTTTTTAATAATGTCTTGTTATACTTGAATTGTGTAATAAATCATTTTTCGCAAAGGCAGTGCAATTTTGAATTTTCTATTGTCAAATGTTAGAATAAATAGGACTTGTCTTATTTAGGAAAAAGTGATATGTTTAGATCTCATTTACGTAAATCACCCAAAATGATATTCTTATTTGACTTTTTAGAGTCAAAATTAGAAAATTGTAACTATAATAATTATTCAGAGCGGAGTGTAATACATCAAATAAAATTTAAAATTTAATATCATTTGATTCATCTTGAAATATAACTTTCAAATACTCTATCATATTATTATTAAAAACTTATTAATATGCTGAGTGTAAATATAGATATTAATTGTCAAATTGTCACACATACACACACACACACACACATATATATATAAAGAGGCGGAGAAGGAGAGATTGAGAGACTGATAGAAAAATCTAGGATTTACGGAGAGGAGGCGAAGACGAGAGAAGAAAAAATAAGGTGAGATTGGCATAAATGTGGAGGGAGTATATATATAAGTACATATAGAGTCAGTATTTTGGCATTTCTATCATCTAAATTTAAAGTATATATTATGAAAATAATAATTTCTATACAATTAAATGTAAAATTAAAACAATACATTGACTATACATACATAATCCATAAATTATTAAAAAATCTATAAAAAAATCTTTTAAAATTCGAATTTACTATTGAGTTAAAATAAGTAATCGATTAATTCCGTTTTTTCATATAGTTTCATCAAAGTGTGTAGTGGCTCAATCCAATGACCCTTACCATATCCTAAAAGTGTGAATTCACAAAAATCTCATTTACACAATAGGGTATTTTCTCAAATCAATCCATAATAAGTGTTAGAATTTAGGATATGGTAAGAGTCACTGGATTGAGCCACAACACACTTGGGTTAAACTATATTAAAAGGGTGAAGTTAATTGATTGTTTTATTCAACTCAAGAGCTTACGTACTACACTGGGATATTTATTTTTTAAATATTTGATGTGAGATACTTTAACAATGAGAGCGAAACATTATTCAAAAATTTGTATCTCATAAATACTGAGTACTTCAGAATTAAAAGTTGCTATAAAATGAGAATTGGAAGTTAGTCAAAACAAAATTTTGAACATATTTTCAATACTAATCTGGTCCTAAAACTTTCTTCTTAGTTACTATTTACATGTTCAAAATTTTAATCACTTTCTTTACCTATTTTTGTTAGCCATTTGACGCAAAATAACATAGTTATTTTACTTCTTTTTTGTAGAGTTTTTTATCTAGTTTTAAATATATAATTTTTATTTTTAAATTTTACACTTATAATGAAACAAATTCAAATAAAAAAGAATTTCAGTCAAATCTCATAAACCAAAATTATTACGGAGTAATAATTTTTCGACTAAGTCACATTCTGGCCAATCAAATGCCGCCTCATGCTGGAGATGTGACATAAGGACTGATGAAACATCCAAATAAAATTGTCAATCATCATACATAATTAGTCATATATAACTGTTCCATTAAACCACAATTAAATTGTCAGTCACTTTCTTTATGTATTTTTGTTAGTCATTTACGGAATAATATATTTTTGTAAAATTTTTGAAGTAATTTTATAATGAAACAAATTCAATTAGAAATAATTTCAGTTAAATATCATAAATGAAAATGAGAAAAATATTTTAGAACGGAAAGAGTAATAATATTTGGACTAAATCAAATTCTGGCCAATCAACTGCCGCCTCATGGCAAATCTTGGTTGGCTGGAGATGTGACATAAGGACTGATGAAACATCCAAATAAAGTTGTCAACCATCATACAGTATATAATTAGTCATAAATAACTGTTCCATTAAATTTAAGGGTAATTTAGTCCACAGTTAATATATTCTCCCCCCATTTCTTATTTTTCCCGAACGTTTTCTCCCCCTTGGCCTTGATTACTCTATTTAAGCCATCCATTCGGGTCGTCATTTCCATGCAAAACACATCTTTTTCTCCCAACATATAATTAAAAATACCAACCAAAAACCAAAAAAAAAAAAAAAACAAAAACAAAAAGAACGTAACATTTTTAATTGGGGAAGAGAGATGGAGAAGAAGAAGAAGCAGAGTCTGGAGGCCGCCGCCACACTGTTGAATTGCAGTGATTTCTTCATCAAGAAGAACATTATTGTGAGATGGAGAAGAAATGCTATGTGGGGTCTAATTCTATCTCTCACAATAGCCATAGCTTGTGAGCTTTCTTTCTTCATTCTTTATTCCGGCATTATATTATTAATATAATTAATGATCATATCATTTTTCTTCTTAATAATGCCATGCATGCCATGTTTACCAACCATGAAGTACGTACTCTACCTCTACTAGCATCTCTCGATGTGTTTGGTTAATTAATGAAGGGGAATTTACTCAATTTATGTGAGAATGGATCTTGTGGAGAGAGATGAGAATGTTGCATTTTTGTTCACCCATGGTACATTTTTCTACGCAGGTGGTGCGGAGTGCATTTTACAAAGTTCAATTAAATTACGAAACTATCGCCATGTCTTTTTTAACTTTTTCTTGTTTTTCAAAGTTTTATGACATTTATAATTAGATCTCACATTCTAAAACACCACATGCATTCTCATTACTCTTAAGATCTCATTCTCACCATAACACACACACATATATGGTTGATAAACTTTGTATGATATTTGTGATTGTTGATAACCCCTAATTTTTCCATTATTAGGTATTTGGTTTAACATGTTTTTGTTCTCCATTAGATAATACTCCTCCGTTACTTATACTCTTTCTCCTTTATTTTTTTCTTGTCTCACAAATTCTTTCTCTTTTCTATTAAAAACCACTTTTACCTCTACTAAATCTTACTCTACCTATCACAGCATACCTTTTTACCAATAATCTATCCATCACATTTTACCTTAATCCACCACATTAAGAGTATTTTTTAAAAAGTCAACACAAAATATCACTCTCTTAAATTTTCAAAAAATTAATTAGAGAAGAATTTTAAGGAACGAAAGGAGTAGTGATTTTTGTTTTTCAACCCTCTAATTTTTTTTATTACTCAGTAAATTAAATAATAACTCCAGAGTTATTTTTTCTATTCAAAGAGTCCTTCCCCATTTTAAATACGGAGTATATGTTGTAATCCCTCTAACACTTACTCCCTATTTGTTTTTTGTCGTTTTAAAATTCTTTTTGTTCACTTATCCCTATTTGTTAGTTATAAAATGAGTTTATTATTACGGAGTAACTCATTACACATGCAATTAGGCATAACTTAGTAATTGGTGTGCTACGGCCCAGAGTGTCTCCTAGTATTGTACATTTGATTTTTTTTGAATGAACTATTTTTCCCGTAAAAAAACATAACTTAATAATTGAGTGGTGGAATATAATGGTGGTAAGGAGTGAAAAAAGTTTAGTCTTACTTTGTTTAAATGAGAAAAAATATGTTATAGGCTACTCGGTTTAATTTTTCAATTTTTTATAGAAATGAAATAAAGTGAAGTAAGAATATTTTTGTGTTACTAAATCACTAACTTGAAATCAATCCATCCAAATATCATTGTACACAATTTGGATGCTATTTTTTTGATAGAGATCACCTCCATTTTAAAGTAATTTTAAGAATGTACTTCGAATTTATTCAATAAAATTTATAAAAATATTTTATTGAATTTGAACTTTTTAATTATGTATATTTTGAATAAAAAAATAATTTAATCGTATAAGTATTTAATAATAAAAATTGAAATGAATGAACCAAAAGAATTTCTAAAAGAGCCAAATACGGAGTATAAAATTTACCCCGTATGAAGTTTACAGAGATCAAAATCACATTTAGGGTGTGTTTGTTGAAGAAACAAGACATGAATTTTGATATATTCAGATATCAAAATCTTTTTGGGTGATTGATGAAGCCAAAAAATATATCGAAAACGACATGTCCAGATATCATAAATTTTTTGAATGGAGGGTTTTGATATCTCCCCTTGGGAGATATCAATATCGGGGTTTGATATCTCTCACAACTAATGATCATACTCTGTCACCAGCTACCATTGTCACCGCCAACCACCCTCGTTGCCGCTTATCACTAATCAAATCATTATTTTAAATATCTCCAAACAAATTTGTTGCAAATTTCAAAGGTTGTGTCATTTCTCTCAAATTTCATAAGTCATATCTTATCATATCTTTAAAATTCACCAGAGCCCTTTAAATGGGAGGAAGGACTGTTTATAAATATCGTAGAATATTTAACTACTCCGGTACAAAATATTTCAAAAAGACTGCAAATAAAATTGGAGTTTTAGTTTTTTCTTTTAATGGGGGTTCAGGTGTAGCAGCAGAGGGGGAAAGGGTCACCGGGAGGCTACAAGCCAGTGCGAGAAAAAATGTTGTTGAGTCAGCGAGAGCGGTGGTTGCCGCCGAAGATGGGCGGTGCTCTGAAATTGGGGTGTCGATCCTTAAAATTGGCGGGCATGCGGTGGATGCAGCGGTTGCGACTGCTCTATGTCTCGGGGTTGTCAATCCCGGTTCCAGTGGGATTGGCGGCGGAGCTTTCATGCTCGTCAGATCTTCTTCTTCTTCACGAATAGAGGCGTTTGACATGAGAGAAACTGCTCCGTCAGCTGCTTCAAAGGTTCTACTCCCTACTATGTCCGAATCTATTTGTTGAGTTTGATTTTTTTCAGCCAAATAGGACAATTTTTTATCATTATAACATAAATTAGTGTTATGCATTAGTTGTTAAGCCATCCTTCATAGCGCACACACTATATTTATTTGTTTATAAATTACAGAGCAATGTTAGATCATCTCCAATGCAAGTCCCGACTCAATCAATCTCTTCTAGTTGAAATGTGAATGAGATTAATGTATCATCTCTTGGCATTGAATGAAAGTAAAAAATGGGATTTGCGCTTGCTAGAAATTCGTTTCAAATGAGTGTAACTCTTGCTGAACATAGTTCAATTCATTGTGAGGATTCGTTTGAAATGAGTAGTTCGTTTCACTATGTGAAAAAACTGAACATAGGTAAACCTTTATGTTAATATGCCTTGAAATCTGTATTGTGTTGCCGCTACGCAGATTAGTAAACGGGGGTCTCCCGACGGTATGCTATGTTGTTGTGTTGGGTTTTAATTATTGTATTGGGCCTAGCGCGTTTTGTGTGCCTATTTATTTAGAGGTAGGACACAAGAACTTTGTACTCTGGAACCTCTGTCATAATAAAATCCACCTCCGTTCTTGCCTGTGGACGTAGCCAACACAACGTTGGTGAACCACGTTAAATCTGTGTGTCTTTACGTTTTCTGTTTACTTTGATTACTCAATTACCCTATTCCGTAATAACACATTACATGCTCTTAATCTCCTAAGATGGATCTTGATGTGTAAAAGTGTAAATATGATTTTGTTCTTACCAAACAGGACATGTTCAAGAACAACGAGACTTCCAAGGATAAGGGAGCACTTTCAATAGGAGTTCCTGGCGAGCTAGCTGGTCTTCATGAGGCTTGGTTGAAACACGGCCGTCTCCCTTGGACTACTCTATTCCAACCAGCCATAAAACTTGCTAGGCACGGGTTTCACATTGCTCCATATCTAGCATCCAACATTGCCAAAAACAAAAATCTTATAATGAATGACACTGGGTTGCGCCAAGTATATGCACCAGACGGGAAGTTGTTACAAGAGGGAGATATATGCTACAATGTGGAACTTAGCAACTCCCTAGAGGCAATTGCAGGACAAGGACCTAAGGCCTTGTATGACGGCCTCATTGGTGAAAAATTGGTCGAAGATGTGAGAAAAGCCGGCGGGATACTGACAATGAATGATTTAAGGAACTATAGAGTCAAAGTTACTGATCCTGTTGCTGTCAATGCTTCAGGATATACGATATTCGGCATGCCACCTCCATCAAGTGGAACTCTTGGTCTCTCCCTGGTGTGCTTTTTTCCACTTCTTTACATTCTTCTTTTTTTCCTCTGATGATATATTTCGAGCAAAATGTATTTTTGGTCTTCACGTTGGCAATATTAGTCACATTACAATACCTCTTGACAATTAAGACTGTTTTGACTAGTATTGCCAACCCCAACAGCTACGTATCAAAAATGCATTCTACGGTTTTCTACCCATATATTTCAGCGGACTAATCTCGTAAGTTTTAAGCATTTGGGAATTATAGATTCTCAAAGTCTTAGAAGGCTTTCCCAATTCGGATGCTGCAAAAGGTCCTCTGGGTCTGCATCGTATGATCGAAGCGTTGAAACACATGCTCGGGGTGCGAATGAACCTTGGTGACCCTGATTTCGTCAATGTCACTGGGACAATCTCGGACATGCTTTCCCCTTTTTTTGCAAGGAAAATACGGCGGCGGATATATGATAACACCACTTTCCCATCTAAATACTACATGCCGAGGTCAATTTGAAATATACATGAAGAATTGTAAGGCTCCGTTTGGTGGGGCTTATGTGGTGTGTTCTACTAATGAACTTTTTTTTTACCTAATGTTACAGGTGGAGTCAACTTCAAGACCACGGAACCAGTAACTTCTGCATTGTAGATGGAGATCGAAATGCTGTGTCAATGACAACCTCAATAAACTTTGCTTTTGGAGCTGGAGTTATGTCAACTTCAACCGGCATTCTGCTCAATGACGAAATGGGAGATTTCTCAATACCTACCGAAGTATCTCCCGATACGCTCCCTCCCTCTCCAGCCAATTTCATTAGTCCTAACAAAAGGCCATTATCCTCCATGACCCCCATCATTGTTCTTAAGGTACATTGTCTATGGATGGGTTTGGCTGATCACTATATTACCTGGTCTAACTCCGTATAGCTTCTAATCCTTCTTAATGCACTTGCTAATAGGATAATCAGCTGGCTGGTGTGATTGGAGGTAGTGGCGGGATTAACATAATTGCAGGAGTGACCCAAGTTTTCATTAATCATTTTGTGTTGGGCATGAATCCCTCTGCAGCAGTTCAAAGTCCAAGAGTTTATCACCAGGTTCCGCAGATTTTCTATTCATATGGTTCAAAAACTTACCAGTCTTGGTCCCATAGTTACTGGGTTATTTTATCTTTTGGTCCTTAGAGCTTTTGACTTTTTGCTACTATTGGTACGTGGATATGGACTACTTGTCACATTTAGTCCTTATCACTTAATTATACAGCCAATTTCTAGCTGATGTTCACTGGGTTAATGACTGAAAAGAACCAAAAATGACAATAAATCAAAAGTTATGGAGCAAAATTGGATATAAACTATTGGTCCTGGGCCAAAAAAGAGAGGTTTTCAGGCACAATGTATAATGATCCACAATGTGTTGTTCTCTGCAGTTAATTCCAAATGTAGTGTTGTATGAAAACTGGACTGTCATAGACGGCGACCACATTGAGCTTTCGGATGAAAGAAAGCATTTCTTAGAAGAAAGGGGTCATCAGCTACAGGCACAAAATGGAGGAGCAAGCTGCCAATTTGTTGTTCAAAGCCTACCAGAATCTGGGCAAGTGTTGGGCAACCAAACGTTCCGTGGCGTGCTCACTGCTGTGAGTGATCCCAGGAAAGATGGAAGTTCTGCTGCCATCTGATGACACTCACATCCCTTGTTCCTGAATTTGTGCATCTGTTTGGCCTATTGAATAATGACATATTGCATAAGGGACCAACAGTTCTGTTTATTTTTATGTAACTGTCTACTTCAACATCACAGTATCACAGACACACACACACAAAGTAGAGTTTTTTGAGTTATGGTGTTGACATATAGTATGCCATGTGTGCAATAATAATGATGTGCCCCTATCTTATTGATCCATGTGTCATAAAATTGTTTTCAACATTTGTTTTTTTTAAATTTGGACTTATATCTAAATAGACCCGATCAAAGTGCGTGTCGGGTTTCGCACTAGGTTGAGATGTTGTATTACTAAAATTGTCTAGGCACGAGTCCGACCCCACTCACTATAACTTTTTCAGTGTCGTTTTGGAAAAAGTATTGTATTATGAAAAGAAAATTGGGGTGTCGTTTCGGAGGGAAAAATTGTTGTACAAAAAAGATTGTCTTGGATTAATGAGAATTTTTTTTAAAAAAAAAATAAAAATAGAATTGAAGGTAACTACAACTTTGATGTTGTGAGTTTTTTTAATTAAATTCTTAAAGAGATTTAAACTTCAATGATAAAATTTATGTGGGGTAAAATTGAGTTTGTGTGAAAAATAGGATAAAAACTTTTTTCTTTTGAATTTTATCAATTATAACTAAAATAAAAGTGATGTTGGCTAAAATAAAAATTACTCGTGTATATTAGAATGTAGAAATCACCCCAAATAATCTCATCTTTTGCTCTTTTAGACTTCTTCATTCTGATGTAGCAAAAAATTCACTAATTTTTGGCTTTGGAGTATGAAAAAATAAAGCAAAATGCTCTTTCAACTATTTATGTTTCTTTTAATAGTGAAGTACTCCATCCATTTATTAATAATGATCTATTTTTAAATAAATGTAGACTTAAGTATGTCTACATTTACTCAAAATTTAATGTATCTAATTTACTTTAATAGACAGTTATTGTGAAATGGGAGGAGTACTAATTACTTAATACGACTTTCAACACTCATCATGAGTCATCTAGAAACAACCTCTATGTTTTGAACAAAGGCTCAAGTGATTTTTATTTCTTATTGATGTATTAATTTGTAAATAAAATCATTTTAAAAATTATGAGATTTGACATCCTAATTCCCATTCTGTAAGAAAAATTCTATGGTCAGACCTAAGGTCCACCATAGATCTACATCTGAGTAAATTAAGCATTTCTTTATTACTTAAATAAGCATCTATTTTTTTAATTAAAAAAATTAAAAAGAGTTTTTTATGTGAGAACGTCCACAAACATAGTACGCACCTCATGTGCACCAAAGAAGCACTCATTTTGTAATCAAAATAAGGACGGAAGGAGTATTATTTAAGATAATTAGTCTTTAATTTTTTTACCATTTATACTAAATTATTCCTCCGTCCCAATTTATAGTGCATGTTTACTATTCACAGAGTCAAACTTCATTCATTTTTTCTCTATTTTCCTTAATAATTTGATAAAATAAAATACTATTGTCACTACTAGTTTTGTAGATATTTTGATCTAGTATTTTAATATGTAATTTTTATTTTTAAACTCTATACCATCTGTCATATAAAATGATTTGAAAATAACTTCAGTCAAACATCATAAACCAAAGCAAGCACTATAAATTGGGACGGAGGGAGTACTAAATTAATACAAATAAACAAGATGGTGTGTGTGCCAAAAAATAAGGTGAGAACAACGTGGCAAATGCGTTAGATGCATAGTTATGGTAATGGAATATGGCTGCCCATCAAATAATTGTGGCCGGTCATTTTCACGCTAAGACCAAATTGTTTTTCCCAATAAAAACATCAAAAAAACAAACAAAAAAACAGAAAAAACAAAGAGAGATGAAGAAGAAGCAGCAACAGAGCCTGGAGGCCGCACTGCTGAATCGCAGAGAAATGGATTTGTTGAACAAGAAGATGAGATGGAGAAGAAGAGCTCTGTGGGGTCTTATTCTCTCCCTCACCATAGCCATAACTTGTGAGCTTTCTTTTCCTGATTCCTCCCCTCATCATCAATTTCCATCTCTTTGCCAAAGATGAATTCTGGGTCTGTAGTGGTGAGTTTGAGCTTTTCTTACAGGTGTAGGGCTTATTGTATGCAACAGTTTGGGCATCTGGAAAGCAGCAGGGGAGGGCAAAATGGTCACAGGGGGAAGGCTACAAACCAGAAATAATGTTGTTGAGTCAGAGAGAGCGGTGGTCGCCGCCGATGATGGGCGGTGCTCCGAAATCGGGGCGTCGGTCCTTAGAATTGGCGGTCATGCGGTGGATGCGGCGGTTGCGACTGCTCTATGTCTCGGGGTTGTGTATCCCGGTTCCAGTGGAATTGGGGGTGGAGCTTTCATGCTCGTCAAATCTTCTTCTTCTTCTTCTTCTTCTTCACGAATTGAAGCGTTTGACATGAGGGAAACGGCTCCGTTAGCTGCTTCAAAGGTTATTACTTCAAAATTTTGTTTCATTATACTTATATGCAATGCAAGTTGAGAGTAATTGAAGCTCAAAGTTTATCTGACTTGAAAAACTCAAACTAGACAAATACAGTGAGACAGATAGAGTATGATTTTGTTCTTACCAAACAGGACATGTACGCGAACAACGGGGATTCCAAGTATACGGGAGCAGTTTCAATGGGAGTTCCGGGCGAACTAGCTGGTCTTCATGTGGCTTGGTTGAAACACGGGCGTCTCCCTTGGACGACTCTGTTCCAACCAGCCATAAAACTCGCGAGGCACGGGTTCACCATTTCCCCATACCTGGCGTCCCACATTGCCAAAAAACGAGACGTTATAATGAACGACTCCGGGCTGCGACAAGTGTATGCGCCAGATGGGAAGTTGTTGAGAGAGGGAGATGAATGCTTGAATGTGGCACTTAGCAACACATTAGAGGCATTTGCAGAAAAAGGAGCCGGGGCCTTGTATGGTGGCGTGGTTGGTGAAAAACTGGTTGAAGACGTGAGAAAAGCCGGCGGGATCTTGACAATGAATGACTTGAGGAAGTATAGGGTCAAGATAACCGAACCGGTTGTTTTCGATGCCATGGGGTATACGGTTTTCGGCATGCCACCCCCGTCGAGTGGAACTCTGGGTCTCTCCCTGGTGTTTTTTTTTTTTTACCTTCTCTTCTGTCTGGTTACTTATGTGGACTCAAATAACTTCCTGACTTATATATGCATTTGGGAATCGTATATAGATTCTCAAAGTCTTGGAAGGTTTCCCCAGTTCTGCTGGTGCAAAAGGTCCTCTGGGTCTGCATCGTATGATCGAAGCGTTGAAACACATGTTTGGGGTGCGGATGAACCTTGGTGACCCTGATTTCGTCAACGTCACAGGGACAATATCGGACATGCTTTCCCCTTCTTTTGCAAAGAAAATCCGGCAGCAGATATATGATAACACCACTTTCCCATCTGAATACTACATGCCGAGGTCAATTTAGAGTATGAAGGTGTGATTTATATCAAGGCTCCGTTTGGTGGGGCATATATGAACTCAGTTGGCATTAGAGGATGTTACCAAATTTTTGCCTGTTCAACCAAATGACCCTTACCAAACGAGAACCAAGTGTTTTCCTTGAATAGTCTTTGATCTTGAACTTTGTTTTTAGCTAATGTTATTACAGGTGGAGTCAACTACGAGACCACGGAACGAGTCACTTCTGCATTGTAGATGGAGATCGAAATGCCGTGTCAATGACAACCACGGTGAACTATGTTTTTGGAGCTGGAGTTATGTCTCCTTCCACCGGCATCGTGCTCAATAATGAAATGGGAGATTTCTCAATCCCTACCGAAGTATCCCCAGAGAAGCTCCCTCCCTCTCCGGCCAATTTCATTAGCCCTAGCAAAAGGCCATTATCCTCCATGACCCCCATCATTGTTCTTAAGGTACATTGTCTGTGGATGGTTTGGCTAATCACTATATTACCTTCTCCAACTCAGTATAGCTGCTAATCCTTCTTGATGGAAGCACTTGCTAATAGGATAATCAGTTGGCTGGTGTGATTGGAGGTGGCGGTGGGATTAACATAATTGCAGCAGTGACCCAAGTTTTCATTAATCATTTTGTGTTGGGCATGAATCCCTCTGCAGCAGTTCAAAGTCCAAGAGTTTATCACAAGGTTCCTATTCATAAGATTCAGAAAACTTGCCAATTTTGGTCTCATAATTATTGAGCTATTTTATCTTTTGGTCCTTTACTTTTGATATCTTCCAAGTTTTGGCACATAGATATGGACTACTTGTCCCTCTTAGTCCTGCAAATCACTTATCCAGGCAATTTCTAGTCGATGTTTGCTGGATAAATGACTGCAAATGCCCAAAAGTGACAATAAATCAAAAGCCGTGAAGCGAAAGAATTAACTAAGAGTTGTGGGCCAAAAGTCCCAAAAGCAAAAAAGTCTTAGGCAGTATTTGGTACCGTGAATGTAATGATTCGCAATGTGTTGTTCTCTGCAGCTCATTCCAAATGTAGTGTTGTATGAGAACTGGACTGTCATAGACGGCGACCACATTGAGCTTTCGGATGAAAGGAAGCATTTCTTGGAAGAAAGGGGTCATCAGCTAGAGGCACAAAATGGAGGAACAATCTGCCAATTTGTTGTTCAAAGCCTACCAAAATCTGGGAAAGTGTTGGGCAACCAAACGTTCCATGGCATGCTCACTGCTGTCAGTGATTCCAGGAAAGATGGAAGTCCTGCTGCCATCTGATGACACTCACATTCTGTTTGTCTATATAAAAAATGTGCTTCTATTGAATCATGTATATTGCATAAGGGACAACCAATTCTTCTGTTTATTCTTTATGTGATTTGGATTGTCTACATAAACATTTGAAGCACTTAACAAGTACAAAATACATTAAGAAGTTGATCATTGAAACAAAGCAAAGGCAATTCAACAATATGATAATTGAAGATGTTTGGTTGGTTCCAGACTGCAAAACTACCTACTTATGATGCTTTTTCCATGAGTTGTATGGGAGTAAGAATGTTGGACTTGCTGGTCTCAACGATGCACCCATTCATTACCATCTCCTCCAGCATGAAGTGTGTTTTTTCGAGATGAAACATTATGTCCAACTCACACTGTTAAATCCAAAACGAAATGAATCAAAAAAAACATGAAATAGAGCTCTAGTACTAATACATCCGTCCCGAAATAAACTTCATCGTTTGAAACTTTGACTTCAAGAGGTTTAAGAAATGTGTTTCATTCCTTAATATTAAAGGAGAAGAGTGCAGTTTATTTTGGGATGGACGGAAAAGTTAACTGTGAAGATTTTTTTTAATAACTATTATTATAGTCATTGCTAGCTCACCACATTGCCAAAATGACGATCCATTGTTTCCACAAGCAGGTGAATGAATTCCAAAATGGCAAGCTCATTCTGCAAATATCACTTAACATGATTGGCCTCATTGAAAGCTAAGTATGGCTATATACCTCTGACTCATTTGGTTAAGAATGAACTCAATAATAAAACTAGATGCAGTTGGGTGAACCCCAGTTGTGTGTACAAAAATGTTTTAAGTATATATCTATTATAGGTTAACTAAGTGAATACTCCGTCCATTAAAAGGTTATTCAGATGAAGGTTATCCAAATTAATGCTGATGAGGGGAACTCGGCCTCTCAAACCCCATTACCCCATATTCGGAGATTCTCCAAAAATTGGGTTTTTGGGCGTTCTCCGAGCTGAACCCAAGTTCATCGACAACCTATGTTATTGTCATCAAACTTAAACACGGGAGCCTAAAAATGCCAAGGTGGATTTAATTGGAGAGGTTACAGGTGAAGTATTAAAGTTTTGATCAATTTATAGCCCCAATACGGTTTTTTACTGCGATTTGGTACACATATGCAGATTATTAAGGAGGGGGTACTCAATAACAAATAACAGCAAACACATCATTGATCAGTCCAACAAAACTTACTTCTTCATTGTCGACTCCAACCAGGAAAAACAGCGACGCGTATCTCCTGTAAACGACTTTGTAATTGCGATGCTCCACAAAAGAACACTGCATTCAGAAAAACCTATCATACTTGTCAAATGACACTCCTACAAGCATTGATCAAACATGAAATTTGAAAGCAACATATAAAATATTATACACGCTCCGTCCCGCCAAAATTTGCTAACCTAGCACTCAATCCACTACCAACTACCTTCACACATTCTTCCCCCCTGTCCACAATCCAAGATCTTGCTAGAACCAATTTTTCATAACTTTGTTTCATGATCCATATACTTATCCAGTCTCATTCATATTTCATAAGGTGCACAAGATAGGGCATGATCAGCTGATTCGAATTAACCAGCCCAATTCATCAAAAACTTCAAATAACACCGGGATCCGGAACCCTAACTGTTAATTGCGATCCGGGCCGGCGTTCATCAGACAAAGAACAATTATTTCAAACAAAAAAAGGGGTACAGAATACATTCAACAGTCCTCAGATCGGAAAAATCAGAAAAATTAAGGAGAAAGATGAATGGGCGTAGAAGCGCATGTGCCTGTTGTTCGTTGCGAGTGAGGCATTTGCGAACGATTTCGCCTTCAAGGGCGCGCCTTTCTTCAAGGGTGAGGTATTCGTAGTACTGGGCAAGCCGAGTCTGACCTTGCTTGTTCACCATTAATATGAATCGAATCCCCATCTCTCTTCCACCCGCCCTCCAATTCTCCGCAGAATGGAAGTACAGAAGTACTGCCCCTGTTGTTGAATTCTCCGTATTTTAATGGAAAATTAGACAACAAAAAAACCCACCAAATACTGTATGAGCTTTTAGACACCCAAGAAAAAGAAGAAAAAGGAAAATGCATTCGTCTCAAATTATTCGGGGTAATAGCATGGGTGTCCCGTGGTTTACAACGCCAAAACTCACTCTTTCAAAATTTATTTCTAAAACCCTTGTGGTTTTTAAATGGTGCACAGACACCCTCTCTTGCCTATTTTTACACATAAAATAACATTTTTGCCTTTTGTTTTTCTATATCTTCAAGTTTTGCTCTTTAATTTACACTTTTTGTTATACAAATAAATTAAAAAAATATACGCCCTCTTTCTCAAATTAAAATTTTTTCATTTATTTAATTTTCAAAAAAATAATTTTTTTAGAAAATATTACAAAAATACATTATGAAAAATTCTAATTTGAGATGGGAAGAGTATATTTTATTTAATATATTTGTATAATAAAGGAAAATAAAATTGGGAAAATTCAAGATCGATGAAAAGAAAGGGCAAAAATGTCATTTTTGCTTTATATATAGGTAAGGGAGGCATGTGTACTCTATTTAGAAACCATAGAGATTTTACAAATAACTTTTGAAATCAGATAGGGTTTTGACGTCTTTTTAGTAAATCATAGGGGGTACCTATGCTATTAACCCCAAATTAATCGTTCCATTTGATTTTATGGAGTTTTAAAAAAGTATTGAAAAATTAAAAGCGGATGAAATTTGAGTAAAGTAAAAAGAGATTGTGGATCATATATTTTTTATTTTATTGGAAAAATAAAGAAATGAGACAATTAATTTGGAATAGACCAAAAAGAAAGTTAGGCGGTTAATTGAACAAAAGTAAATTTCTTATGCCGAAATAAATTTGAACGTTTTGATCTAACTTTCATGTTGGTAGTTGTTTTCTCCAATGTCAGTCTCCACAAAAAATATTTATGTACGTCTTATTACTTCAGTAGTATACTTCATCTTTATTCATCTTCGTCACTATAAAAATTTACAAATAAATGATATAGTATTTTCACATATTTTCATGTTTCGTACAAATATTGTATTGAGTTTCTTCCTTAGTTTGAGTGGTATAATAAGCATCTCAATGATTCTAGATGGAAAACTACCTAGGTTCAACTATTGGCGGAACTTTTACTCTATGTGCTTCAGGTTGAGAAAGTATACCTAAAATGATTGGCATGTTGATCTCTAGCACTTAGGCTTGAAGAAGAGACTATAGTCTTCATATACAATAACATATTATGGAGTATTATTTCACATCCTTCATACTTTTTCTGTACCCCTAAGATCTTTTCATTTTAAATTTTGTGGGTTTAAAGGACAGTTGAAAAAAGATAAAAATTTACCAAAATTCCCGTAATGAAAATGGATTGAGCGTATTAACTGAGGTGAGTGAGGTTTAATAATAAAAGTAAGTCAAGCTATTTGTGGTATTTTAAATGTTAAATAAGTAATGAGAAGATCAATGAGAAATAAATAAGAAGGCCAAATGGAAAAGCCTATGAGGGACGGGGGGAATATTATTTACACTCTAGCGTTCGATGACTGTTGAGACTTGAGATGTCTTTCTATGTATTTTGGTTCATATGTGTAACTTATTTTCATAAGAAAATGTTTTTGTATTTTCCGAATGTAGGGGTGTGTATAAACACGAGGAGTGTCTAATTTACATTCCTTTTTCTTATGGAAATAAGAAAATTGTAGCCTCTTTAGAGCATCTTCAACCACAATTGCTAAACATGGCTGGCTAAAGTTATTGTTTAGCATGTGAATAGTGGTATAGCAAGCCATTTTGCAATGCCATCTCCAACCTTCTCTTGCTATAATTTACTTAGCTAACAGTTATATTATATTGTTTTCACTATTATAATACACTCTTTATAATAATTATTCAATTATATATTTTATATTATAAAATTTAAAAATAAGTATGTAATTTAAAAATAATTATTTCAAAAAACAATATGGAGTATTATTTTACTTTAGGGAAAATAATAAAATATACGGAGCATTGTTTTAAATATTAAATAAATACTCCCTCCGTCCCAAATTATAATGCATGTTCACTATTCACAGGGTCAAACTTCATTCACTTTCTTTCTCTATTTTCGTTAGCAATTTGATAAAATAAAATATTATTGTCACTACTAGTTTTGTAGATCTTTTGATGTAGTTTTTTAATATGTAATTTTTATTTTATAATTTTATACCATTTGTCATATAAAATGGTTTGAAAATAATTTCAGTCAAACATCGTAAACCGAAACAGGCGTTATAAAATGGGACAGAGGGAGTACCAATTAAAGAGTAGAGAAAAAAACTTTACAAAATTAGAGAATAGAAGTAATTACATATTTTGAGGAGAATGAGAGAAAAGAATGGAGAAATCAAATATTTAATCTATATCATAGTTTGCTATATTTTGAGTTATTATATAAAACAAGCCGAAGTTAAAATTTACCAAGTATGCTATATATAGTATAGCAAGTCCCTTGGAGCACAAAAATTAAAATGGATTGCCAAATAATGACATTTAACAAGCCCAAACTCAATGGTGGTTAGAGATGTTTTTAGCTCTCGTCTCACATGGACTACAATACCTACAAAACATCTACAAGTCGTACCCATGAAAATTTATTCAAGTACCCCATGCTTTTAAGGTACAGTACATCCAAGCATTCCTACATATTGTTAGGGCTTGTTTTCTTCACAATATCTTATTGATTCTGAACTAATTAAAATAAATTCTGATCTGAATGCAATTATATTTAAACCCATATGCACAAATTCTCTTCTTTCTTTTCAAACCCATATGCACAATATGCATAACAAGAAGCCAGACAGACAACCCAAACACTCAATAAAAAACACTTCTCAAGGCAAATGTTGTCTAACAAAACAAACACACAAAAAAAGATGTGCTTTAAAATTTGAAAACAAAATGTTTTCGAATCACAAAGCACGTTAAAAAAACTGATAATCCGAACACCCTTAGCAAAGCACACGTTACATAGAAATTGATTAATAAAATCACTTACAGAAGCTAATAGGTTTTATTACAGCGTGGAAGGATCTTCGATACACTCTTGGGCAGAATATACGAGAGAGTATGATTATTATGCCGATCCCATCTTCAAAAACACAAGCTTTTTTAGCAGGCAGGAGCCTCTGTCAGCCACCGTGTAACCGGCTGCCCACAAACTCCTGACACTTTCAATGAGGTGAATAGGCAAGAAAGTTTTGCTATCATGGGCCGTGTCCGAGTCTTTGCCACTCTGGGCATGATTGCCAGTTGCTTGCCGGAATAATTGTCAGGTGAGCTGTGATACCCTTCAAGATCTGCCTTTGTGATCAGTACAGCATCTGCAGGGGAAAATGCATGCGAGGAGGATCCTGTACGTTGCTGCTTGAAATCTTGGACAGCCTGTTTCATTACACAGAGACGGAAGAGTACACTAATGAGCGCATAGCACCTTTCTTAAAATTTCAATGTGAGGGTTTAGGCAGTTCATTGAATATTCATAACAACAATTTCCAAAGGCCTTGTTTAGTAGATCTAGTTCCTGTGTTCCTTGACGAACTTTACCGTTCCCTTTTTCCCTGGAGAATGAGTGGTTGAGATTTATTTGGAAAGAAAAGAGAAAACATCCACCACACATTCTTTGGTCTAAGAGGAAAGGCGTAGTTTATTTGGGACAACAAACGAAGTAAAAAAGTGAAGTTTCTTAAGGACAGGAGGGAGTAGCATTTTGACCAGTTTGTTAATTTTACTAGAGTGTTATGACTAGATGTGCTGAAGTCGGGGTCTGGACGTCTGGTTAATGCTTTTGCCATAGCAGTTTGGGTCAGACCCAAAAATAAAGCACCTTTGAAGTTCAATGTATACTTTTTCCATACATACAAAGAAACGACCAACTTAAGGTGTTACCTTCCATTGGGAAGGAGCCAATAGTACTCTAGGTCTTATAGAGCGGACATACTCCAGTGCCGCAGCAGGGCTCATGTGTTTATACTCCACCTGAAAAGTATGGAAGCATAAAAACCCCAATAACTGTCCCCAGGTTTCAAAAGCAAACAATCTGTCCTATTGGAATTAATAAGCAGTAGCAAAAGATCAAAAACCAAATAGCAAAGCACAATGGTAGTGCTCCTTCCTCTCCCTGCTTTGCAATGTACGTATGTAGTCCGCCCGCTAGTTGCATTTTCTGTAACCAACAAAGAGAGTCATGCGGCAGCAAATAGGGCTTTAAGTTTAACAGTGGCAGAGTCAGATTAGAAGATGCACTAACTGTGAATAAAGTCCACTGCTTGGTTAATGTCGCCAAACGAAGGGGCAAACAGGTAATCCCGAGTTGGAATTACAAGATGGTCGATCTCATGTGCCTAATAAAATTGAAGTAGAAAAGATGTTAAGACTTGGTAATGATAATCCATGTTAATGAGTGGATAAAATGAGTATAATTGAATATCTAAAAAAATTATTGAGTTTTAGCCTCCCTTGTTTTCCCCACACTTTCTTCCCACCCAATTGTATTCAATTTTTCCCTCTCATTATCTTTCCCTAGCAATTTCCAGGTTCTAAATGGACCCTAAAGTTTTCTATACAGGCTAAACATCTTGGGTATATTTCAATGAAAGAATATATTCCAGCACCACGATGTGAAGGCATAAAAAAGAGAAGTTATTTAAAAAATGTTCTTAATACATCACAACCATATCTTCGGAGGAAACATGATGTTAGATATAAAACGTATTACATGATATAATGATGTTGGGACCAAGGTTTCATAGGGTTCATTCAGAGTGATAACACCACCAACACCAAGCTGCTTCAAGCGTGGAACATCCTTGGGAAACGGCACCGCTCCAAGCAAAATGAACTAAACAACCAGTGAAAAAAACAGATATTAGCTAGTTCAATTTCATCTTCATAATTTCACACAACGGCGTACAAGCGAAACATAAACAATTACTCCATAAAAGCACCCAATAAGCTAAATTATCAAACTTCTCCGTCCTATAAACTCAATAAGATAGATTAATCGATCAATTGCTTCAGTATAAAGCTGGAAAACAGACCTCGTCAACCTGATCCCACCATCTAAACTCGGCCTGAATTTTGTTCCGGAATACATTGTAGAGCAAAGTCGGGTAGAATAGGATCCTCGCTCCAGCTCCAACCAGCGCTCTCTTGGCTTCAACCGGCACTATCATCATGCTTCTCTCATCCTCAGCACCACACTTACTGTCACTACTACAATCATCCAAATATTCGATCTTCATATCGACCCAAAAAAAACACTTGAAACCCTAACTCCAAACCAACCGGCTTCCCGTAACGCCACAATTCCAGCTCTAATCGACGCGACAGAGGAACCGAAGCACGATTTTTTCCAGAAATTCGACGAAGCTCGGATCGGCAGACAGCATGTTCGGTGATGATTCGAACAAGAACAGACGATAATCCCGAGGAGATTATACGGATCGGGAGAGGAAATTGTAAGAAGACCGAAGCGTTGGGGAATTGAAGATTAGAGAGTTTATTTATGTGGTGATTTGAACAATTTAGATTGAGATTTGAAGACGATCGTTGATTAATCCCAATGGATCAGAGAGAGAGAGAGAGAGAGAGAGAGAGAGAGAGTCAACCGTCAAGAGAGTAGAGAAAAGGATGAGAAGGGAGCGCTATAGAGGTGGAGAGGCTTGCGGTTATTTACCAACTAATTCCTTTTATATATTCCCTCTCCTCACAATAAAATTTAAATTTTTTAAAGTCAAATTTTATTTGATTTCTTTATAAAAAAACTATTTCTTTTTTTAGTTTTGTTATCTATTTAATAAAATTGATATAATTATATCAATCTTGTTTATTTTTAATTCTATTCTTAAAGAGTAGAACATATTTTTGTTTCAACACCAATTTATATTAGTCTCGTTTATTGTTTTAATACGAATTTTGTATTTAGTTAATTGATTTAGGATACATTTTTAATTTTATTCTTAAATAGTAGAACATATTTTTGTTTCAATACCAATTTATATCAATCTCGTTTATTGTTTCAATACCAATTTTGTACTTAGGTAATTGATTTAAGATACATGTAATGCGTCTGTAAAAGACGTGACAAATATGATTTTTTGGGCCTGTTTGGGAATAGCTTTAGCGAATAGCGTCAGCGTTTTGGATAAAATTTTAACGGTGCAGATTAATTTGAAAACGCTAACGCTAAAAGCTGTCCGTAGATAGCTTTTTGAAAACGCTAACGCTAATCGCTAAAGCTATTCCCAAACAAGCCCTTTATCAAATTATTTTGAGAATATATAAATAAATAAAAGTTATTAAAAATCGTAATAATAATAATTATTTGGACACTCATGGTGGGAGGAGGACAATATGAAAGGAAGACATTTTTAGATAATGAAAGCTAAGTTTAGAGAAGTGAAACTTAGGAGTTAAGGACACGAAAAAAACATCAAACGGATGCAAACACACTCTTTTGGTGAAAATGAAGATTAGCATACATTAGTGTATACACCCTTAGTTGTTAAGAAAACTTCCGTGGAATTAATTGTTAATTATTTTTTTAATTAGAGTTTGCATTTTGAATAATCTTTTAAGAGAAAAGTGCGCTAATAATCCTAAAATTCTTTGGAAATTGCACGATTTACCTCTGGATATTAAAAATTAGACCAAATATTTCTGAACAATTAAAATCATTGCACGGTTAGTCCCTTTAAAAAACAAAAAAAATAAAATTAAAACTAAAGGTAAAGACTAAAAATTTAAATATTATCTTTAGACAATTTTTTAAATCATAAAAATTAGACGATGTGGTTGCCAAACGGACCCTAGATCAAACTACTTGTAGAGTTTTTTTTTTTTTTTTTTTTTGCGGAAGATCTTTTTTAGTAAAATCTTCCAACCTCTTATTTAATAATCCTTAATATAACTACAACGTACTTTCTATCCCAAATGTTTATCTACTTCTTTTCAAAAAGTACTATCACGAGTATTTCAGCTCACACGAACCACCAAAATCTAAAAATAACAATATGATGAAGATTTAAGGGAGAAAAATCAAAGTGAGACTAAAACATTGAAAATATATCAAAATAAAATTTTCATATTTTTATTTTTAAAATAGGATTTACATTACCAAACATGGTCATTTACATTACTAAAAAAGTATAGTAATGTGCACATGTACAGTGCCACATTGCAAAGTCCTATTTCAAAAAAAACATAAAAGTCTTATTTTGGTATTTTTTTTCTATGTTTTAGTCTTATTTAGGGTGATTTCTAAAATTTAACAAGAAAAAGAGAATATTGAATGAAAAAAAGTGAATTTCATAAATGATCTCATCACAAGAGGTTTTTCATACATAATCCTCACTTTAAAAGATAAAGTGTTCGTTGTTCACTTTATTTAAAAATTATTACAAAATCGGTTCTTTAACGATCCAAATGTTATTTTCGACATAGAGCTTTACGAAGAACTAATCATGAAATAACTTTCCCATATCTAGAATTATGAATGTAATATCTTAAAAACTAAAATTGATGAGAATGAAAATATCATGTTATAAAAGATTAATTATTAAATTTACTCGATAAATAAATGAGGCAGAGATAAGAAAAGAATATGATTTTGTGTGTTAATAGGCTTCTCATTCATTTTCGTCCCTAAATTCCACAATATATTCCATACTTTCGATTGATTGCTCGAATTCTAAGTGTTTCGTCTAATTTGACTTTTCTGTCAAATTAGTCTTTTATTTGAATAATTAAAACTAAAAGTGAAACTTATTCAAGGTAGGGAGACATTGGTTCAATTCCAATTCCTGATAACTACCTACTCATGAAACAAATACTCCTTACTAGCCTAATTACATCTACACTATTAACTTAACCTCTAGCCTTCATTACAGCTTTAGCCCTCAAAGCTTCCAAGGCAGCCATGTATTCCACCAATTCTTCACTCCCCATTTCATCAACATCCCTATTCCACCAAAAGACATTTATGCCCTCCCACTCCCCACCCTTGTTCTCCTCCTCCTCCTCCTCCTCTATGCCCTCCACCAGCCTCTCCCTCTCCTCCTCCAGCGCCTCTATCTCCCGCCCCACCGCCTCCAGATACGGAGGAGGAGGCGGACTGGCCGCCGCTTTGGCGGCTGGCTGCTCGAACCGCCGGAGCACGGCGCCCACGCTGGGGTAGCCGCACGTGAACGCCTTCCCCTTGCCGGAAAAGAAGATGACGGCGACTTGGGCCCCGCAGATGACGGAGAGCTCGGCCGCCTTCTTGTAGATTCCCTCGCGGCGTTTGGAGAATGTGACCTGGCGGCGCGCGCGGTCGACGATCTTTTTGATGGGGATCTTCTGCCGCCCTCTCGTTTGTTTCTTGGTCGGGAATTTCTTCTCTTCGGACATTTTTGCCGGCGAGACAGTGGTTGGATAGACCAGTATCAAACCCTAACTGTCACTACGTACAAGAAGAACCTTTCCTTATAAGGTAGAGCAATTATATACTGTAAATCTGTAATACGGAGCATTGATTACCTTTGATTTGCATGATTCGGTTTTTAGAAAATCAATGGGTGAAGATATTAATTAATCTTGTGGTAATTACCAAAAAAACAAGAGATTCCTAAGATTGTACTTAATTATTACCTATATCTAATTTCGGGTAAAATAGAAATACAACTAGTTTGTCAATCAAATTTTATTCTTCTCATGCGAAAGAAAAGGACTGAAATACTCCCTCTGTTCACTATAAATCTTCTCAGATATTATTTACGGGGTCAAACTTCATTCACTTTGTTTGCTTATTTTTACTAGTCATTTCATAAAATAATATAATTTTGTCACCATTAGTTTTGTAGAACTTTTCATGTAGTTTATTACTATATAAATTTTATTTTAAAATTTTACTCATATAATCAATTAAATTGAATTGAAAATAAAGTCAGTCAAGCCTCGTAAAGCGTAATGGGAAGATCTTAGATGGACGGAAGGAGTAACACTTAAACATGTCTAAAAAGACACAAATAGCAATGAAGCATCTAGATTAAACTTAACAACACCAGCTAATCCCACAGAAAGCAAGGTCGGGAGAGGGTGAGTGTATGCAGGCATTGCCCCTACTTGAAAGTAGAGAAACTGTTTCCAAGAAACCTCTAACTAAGGCAAAGCATAGGGCGCAGAGCACAAAAGAAAGGGCAAGCTAAGAATAGAAACAACAGAACACGAGGGACAAAGCAAGGAAAAAACAAGTCGCGGAGCAAGAAAAGTACACAATAGCTTTTAGCAAAGAGTCCTAAAAGCTACCCAACTACCCTCGCCCTAGATCTCCAAATACTCCTATATATCTAAGATTAACTAATAGGAGTAAAAAATTGTTGAAGTCTCTATTTTACCCCTACACATATAAAACACAACAACACACCACCAAACTCGTCATCTCACTACCACCAATGCCATAGTGCTGCCACTGATGCCACATTACCAAACTGTCACCATCGTCGTCTCACTTCCACCACTACTATTGTAGCAACGACACTACCGCACTGCCAACACCACTATCACACTCCCACTACAACCGCTTCTGATCATTGCCACATTGTCATAGCTATTGCCACACTCCCCACCGCTATCACATTGCCACCACCGCCGCCCCAATGTCACTGTCACCGCCACACTGCCAACTCTATCCCCACACTATGGCCCTGTTTTTTTGGATTAGAATTTTAGAGCTGGATGTTGCAAGAAACTAGATACTGCAAGAAGAAACTAAAAGGAGTTTGAAAAAACTGGAAGGATTTGGAAAATGTTGGAAGAATTTAAGTATTAAGAAATCACTCGGTTAAATGATCATCCAAATAAATATTTAAGAAAAATCTAATTTTGGATAAAAAAATTCATTATTGTCTGTGTTTGAAGTAATATGTTTTAAATTTGGATGTATAATTTTATTTTATATTAATCATATATAAATACCTTTTTTGAGTCGTTGTTGGAAGAAACTAAACAAATTTTGGAAGGAGTTAGAAGAAACTAGAAGAAGTTAGAAGAAGTTGGAAGTTAATTTTTTCAACTCAAAAGAATGGGGCCTACAACCCTCTCCACCACACTAGAACCAACATCCCCACTATCATCTTTGTAACACATTTACGTGGCTACATTTTGGTCCTATCAAAGCACTCAATTGCTTGAGCCCTTGGGCCGGAAGTCACGCTTCGCCGCTGTTCACATGCGAGGGTTCCCAATGATCATGAGTTGGCTGTATGTATCTTCCTAAGCTGTATGTTCCATACCACGCAGATTAGAAAGATATATACCTATATTGGCTACACGTATATCTTACCAAGTTGTGTATGTGTTCCGTACCATTCAGGTTAGAAAGATATATGTCTCACTTTGATCCGATACCAAAATATAACACCCCGACCCGCATAACCCGAATACATGTACTAGCGGACTGGGTTGTCACTAGATTGACATCCAAACACAACAATTTTCAGGGTAATTTAAAACATTTAATTCAAGACATTAATGAAAACATCCATGGGAGTAACTTAAAATTAAATGGTGCAAAAGCTTAAGTACTTAATTCAAAATACAATTTTGGTTTCTTGCCCGAAAAACATAATAAATTCAAACATAAATATTTAATTAAATAAACTCCTCAGACATGCATCCATCCATCTCTTTATCCTTGCTTTCCTCCAAGATTGGTTCCCTATTCGTCATTCTTGTTACTTACGCGTAACAAGTAAAACAAACCACACGCTCAACATTTCATGCTAAGTTAGAGGTTCTAACAGTAGAAGTCACATATAGGATTATTTCAACATACATAATCATTCATAAGATTTCATGCACAAGTAATATCACATAACAACGTCATATAATATCAACAATATTATACGGAGTAACAAGTTACACTTTATATTACTAACCTTGTGTATTTGGTTGCATCAATTATCAACTCAACATCCTTATCTTTATGTAAGTTCATCTCTTACACTTGCTCATAACCTATTCTAGGCTAAGGCTATTGTAGTAACAGACACAGAAACAACACAATACTACACAACTTTACCAACAAAGGAGTTCTCCGCTGGGTGGGCGGTACCTCTGTCCCCTTCAGAACGACAGATGTAGATCTTGTATGTACGTTTTAACCCGCAGCCATCAGATACCAGATCCGTAAGACTGATTCTATCAATTGACATATATACTTACAACCACACTAGGGTAGTCCGCCTAGAGTTCCTCTAGCTAGCCTAATCATTTATTTACAACAATTCCTCATATTTAGAGTTATTCCAACAACAATTTAATTCACTATATTTGCTCAAGGCATATCCATACTACATTTAAGATGTAATAAGAGGATAATAACAATTAAATAATTATCATATAATATTAATAGTGACCTTGTGTCGGGGTAAGCACCTTCAACTTACTATCATGCAGCACCTAAGGTCTCGGAATCAATCCGGGACTTAAATCGGAACAAACAAATAAGGAAAGATTTAGGTATTGTTTTGTACGATACCTTGATACTGTGAAACGACACCTTGGTAGCGTCTGGTCTATAATCTGTAGGTGAAATTCTTCTGTGGCGGTAGCCAGCTACTGTTGGACGGTACCGTGCTACCGTCTGTGGTTGCAAAACGCAGAGAAAACAGAGCGCAAACTCTAGACCAAACTCTTACCAACATATAACATTTGTAGAGATTATTGTTAAAGGAAAGAGAATATTTGGTAGAATATTTGGAGATATTTGTGTATATATTGTTTTGGTAGTTTTCCTTGTATAGGGATTCTTTCCTTTTCCTTTTCCTTTACTTATTAGGAGTCTCAATTTGTGAGATCCTATATCTAGGTCCTCATTGCAAATTGTAAACACAAGAGAGTAATACAGAAAATTTCCTCCCAAACAATTCTTTCATGGTATCAGAGCCAAAACCCTAGAGGATTTCCACGGCTACTGTGCACGATCGGCCGGCATCGCGTCCAGCGGTCGTCACTTAGTGGTGTAGCCGAAAGACCGGAACGGTCGACCGTTGGAGAGGAACGGTCGAAGGAGTCGACCGTCCCGACGGCAGATTCTTCAGTTGCTGCAGCTGTTCGATCCATTATTTGCCCGTGTCATCTGGTATGTCTGAAGAGGCATCCATGAAGATTACTCTCAACAAGAATGAGGAAGAAGAGAAAAATGGATATTCGCCGTTGCCCAATTTCGAGGATCTGACTATGGAACAGTGGAACGCTGTTCGTCACGCCCTTGCACTATCCCCTACCGACATCAATCAGAAACTTACAAGTATTTCTGTGTCACCACGTTGGATTATTGATACGGGAGCATCAAATCATATGACAGGTGATTTTTCGTTATTTTATGATGTGGTGGGTGTGACTCCATGTGAAATTGGGTTACCCGATGGAAAACGGGCAGTGTCTGTTCAATCTGGAAAAGTTGATTTGACAAGGACTTTGACTTTACAGAGTGTGTTGTTTGTTCCAAATTTGAAGTGCCATTTGATCTCTGTCTCACAGCTGACGAGGGATTTGAACTGTGAGGCAAAGTTCACCAATGATGTGTGCATATTACAGGACAAAAATTTGAGGACAACGATTGGTGTAGGGAGACATGAAGGAGGATTGTACTATTTAAAGAAGGATGAAAGAAGCATGGCGTGCAGTGCTAAGAAGGTGAATTCCTTTGATCTTTGGCACAAGCGTCTAGGACATCCCTCTTCGCATGTTTTGTCCTTAGTTCCCAAAGTTGGTTCGAATAAAAGTAGCCATAGTCATTGTGATGTTTGTTTACGTGCTAAACAAACTCGTGCTTGTTTTCCCATCAGTTTCCATCAATCTTTGGATGTATTTGATATGGTGCATTGTGATTTATGGGGTCCTTATCGGACGCCGAGTTTGAATGGTTCTACCATGTTTTTGACTATTGTGGATGACTTTTCTCGCGGCGTGTGGGTACATTTGCTTGATTCTAAGCGGACAGTAGGAAGCGTTTTTAAACAATTTTGTGCCATGGTTGAACGTCAGTTTGGGAAGAAAATAAAATGTGTTCGCAGTGACAATGGCACAGAATTCGAATGCTTGAATGAATATTTTCTAGAACAAGGAATTATTCGTGAGACATCTTGTGTGTCTACACCGCAGCAGAATGGAAGAGTAGAACGTAAACATCGTCATATTCTGAACGTGGGTCGAGCTCTAAGATTTCAGGCAGGGCTTCCTATTGAATTTTGGGGAGATTGTATACAAACTGCGGCGTATTTGATCAATAGAACACCCTTCTCTTTGCTAGGGGGGTTACACCGTATGAGAAGCTTTATGGAACGGTCCCTACGAGGACTCACATACGTGTTTTCGGTTGCAGATGTTATGTACACAATTTGAAAAGAGATGGAGATAAATTTGCACCCAGAAGCATTCCTAGAATATTTTTGGGATACCCACAAGGAAAG